TGCCTGTAAACCGGAGGAGAATGCTGGCATTCCTCCTCCTACTTGAAAGATTACGGAGGGATAGGGTCTGCAAAATTAGTTTATTTTGGGGATTGACTGGATGCTCTGACCGGTCCACTTCCTGCCCGGCGCTATGCAACACCTCGCGTTGCGTCAAAAATAGACTTGCATCTTATTTTTAGCAGAACCCAGCGCAGAGACGCTTCTGGGACGCTTCTGAGCCGTAACGCGGCGCGTCTGGTGGAATAGCACCCATTGACGAACGCCGTAACGCGACGCAGACGTACCCGGTGGAATCGAGGGGTAAGAGATTTTCTAGTTTTGCTTCACAAAAAAAAATAAGAGAGTAATTACACCACTTTTGAATTCCATGAAGTGTGTCATCAAAACAGGAGATGCTAAGTGGCTAAATGAGACTGCTGAAATTCAACCACCTTTAGCTTAGCACAGCCATTCGACCATGATGCTGTTCTTTATAGCCTAACGTTAGATTTTTACTTCTGGCGATTGCATTTACGCTTTAGAAATCTAAAAGTACTGTTAATATATAGAGATAATCCTGGTAAACAAAGGAGGTTAAGTATTGTTAATGAGTGTTTGGCAACTATTTTCTACAATCAGGCAAAATCCTATGGTAAAATCCCATTGCTTCTTGTCGAGGGAGCCCTTGCGATTCTAACTTTCGGGTTGTCCAACAAAATATGTCATCACTGCACCTCTTTATGATAGACAGTGTCTATTATTGTACCAATGAAAATGACAGTCCCCTTAGTCATTTGAAAACAAAATTATCTTTCACTTTCCCTAGCCAGCTGTATTTGCATAAAACCTGATCAAACATTTAAAGAGTGCTCCACAGATTCAACAGGTTACTCATATAACATTGGTGGACTCACAATGGACCGTTACGAGACTGTCATGGTTTGGTTTTATGTTGTTTGAATTTTCCACCTTTTATTTTGAAATGTTTTCCTCCTTGTGTCTTGTCTGGTTCTACTTCCTGTGTTTGCCTCCCTGTCTTTATTTTCCCTCCTGTGTCTGATTGTCTGATTGTGTTCACCTGTTGCCCTTGTGTTTCTGTCTCCCCTGCCCAGCTGTGTCTTGTCCTGTGATTACCCTTCTGTGTATTTACTCTTGTCTTCCCCTGTGCTCCATGTCTGTTCATGTCTGTTTGTCGTCTTTCCATGTCCATGCTACCTTGTCTCTTCATGTCCTTTCTCCCTCCTATGCTCGTCTTTGCTAGTCCAGGGTTACGGTCGAATAGTCAAAAAAATCAGCTCCTGACGTCTATCCCTTGACGTCTATGTGAAACGTCACAGGGTTAAGGGGTTAAGGAATAGTGGATAGGAGAATTCAAAAGGACTTAGAAGAAGAGAGTTCGGTACTTAGAGAATCCGACTACACTTTCACTATCTGACTATCCGAATGTTGTTGGACGGCACAGGGCCGGCCCTGACCAATTTGCTGCCCTAGGCAAGATTTTAGCTGGCGCCCCCCCCCCCCCCCAAAATACAGACACTCACTATGACTCGCGCATGCATGCACGTGCACGGTTGTGGCATGACCACCAAAACAGAAATATATGGACACAAGATGTGTGCAAATGTTTTTAGTATCCTATCCATGTGAACATGATTTAAGTGGGGGGTGGACCTAACATCCTCTAGGGGGGTCCGGGGGCATGCTCCCCCGGGAAGATTATTTTTTCTTAATATTGAAGTTAAAAGCATCAATCTGGTGCACTTTGAGAGCAATATTAAGACATCTATGGATACATCTCTCAACTTAAATATGAAACAGAACTGTAAGCAGATTTTCTTTTTCTTTATGGATATTTTACAAATCACTCTCCTTTCAAACTGTATTCTTGTTTATTAACCAGTTTAGCCCTGAGCCTGTTTTTCAGGTCTCAGGCTCGAAAATGACATTCCCAGAACAAATGACCATATCTTCCCTTCTAAAAGGGTCAAATTAATAATCTTTTTCCTCAAAGTAATGACAAACCTGTGAGTTGGATGTAGAAGAGTCAGAACAATATAGATGTTTTTTATTTTAAAGAAAATTCAGATTGAACATAGTAAAAAACTGTAAATTATAGTGTCCGTCCAAAAATTATTTTTTACTTATAGTGAAAACTACCCTTGGATGATGGTAAGGTAGACTAAAAGCTTTAGGAATCCAAATAGGCTACATGCACAGTCACTTCCGCATTCTACTCAAAGCGGCTGATTAATTTCCTGTTTGAAAATGACGACCTTCTACACCCGCTGCCTACAAGAGCTACCGAAATAAAAAATGTCAGATGTTCATCGGATTTGCCGGACGACTAAAGCCCCAGCCAGCAAACTCGATAAAGGCTTCAAATTATATGCTGCGTCATATATACACAACTATGAAGGTAAGAAGGTAACTGGAGTAACCAGCTAGCTTATGCTCCAGGTTACGCTAATGTTAGCTGTCAAAAGCTAGGTAACGCCAGAGCCCTATAGTATAACTACTATTATACTACTACTATAGTAGACTACTATAGGGCTCTGGGTAACGCTATGTACTGTTTCTGGTGTTAATTCTTTAACACATTAGCCATTTTGCTAAAAAATACTATCGTTTAATAGCCTTATAGCCTAGCCAACTAGAGGTTGTCTTGTTGTTAGCCACACTGCATAATGGTATCAGCTTTTGTAAAGCAATGTTGCCATAGATGTTTTGACGTGAGTATAGATCTAACGCTGTTGCTCTGTTTTTCTTCATTCAGTGTCCAATAAAGACAGGCTGACAGGGCAGGTCAGCGTGAGAGCCTTGTGCTACAGGTCAATGCGGAAGAGCGAGACAGCACACAGTTTGAGTGTAGGCAGGCAGCATTGACACTGTTCCCCCCTGTTTATTGAGTTTTCAGTTCAGTTAAACATTAGTTTACCTTAAGGGAATCTCAACAGTGTCCTACTTCTCCCTGCTTTATCACAGCTGATTGGTCAGATATTATTACATTGATTATGGATGTGTAAGTTTGGGGGTTCAAATATATAGTCAAAACTGCTTTAATACAATTTTCAAGGCATCTTAGTTTCCAAAGAAAGTCATTGTGGTATTGTAGGGTAAGAGGGTAACACTAAGCATTCAGGAATACATGCTTCTTCTAGGATAATGGTCAGTAAAAATAACCAATAATTCTACTCATAATAACCTCCTGGCTCATAGTAACAAGTGAGGTTACTAATCACTAGTATTTCTTCTCTCTTTTTTAGATAACGCTTCGTGATTCATCACCAGTGGTGCTCACGCACAACCAGTGCTCCTGTGTTGCAGGAACTGTTTTGTGCAATCACACAGTAGCATTGCTGTTCCAAACAGCACACTACATTGAACTGAACATGCCAGTTGTGCCACCTGTGCATAGCTGTACTGAATCGGAACAGCAATGGCACAAGCCGCGAACAATGGTAATTTCAATGAGGTTCAAATACTTGTAATCTTTCACAGAGTTTTTGTTTTAAAGTGACTCAACGAACAGTAATAGTCTTTTCCTTAAGGGTGTGAAGCCAGGGCCCATCAACTCCATGGTTTTCACCAAGCCTGTACCAAATAGGATGGTGCAGACTGGAGTAAGGTAATTTTAGCTAGAAATTGTGTTTCCTGTGTTTTTAAAATTCATAATTCTGGTGCTGTATTCTTAACCTTTATTGTCACATTAATGTGCTATATTGTCTTTGCCATTCTTTGTAGGAGTGGATTCTACAGAGGCATGGTGGGGCCATTACCAGATCCCTGCCTGTTCAGAGTTACGGAGGCATACTCAGCATTCAGCATTGAAGACAGACCGCTTGTGACCACAATGAACATGAGACCTGACAAGCCCCTTGTGGAAAGTGCCTTCGGGATTGTGCAGGAGGGCAGTGTTCTGTCCTATCAGATGCCTGCTTTGACGTCTCGGTACACCACACTTCACACTGACACACACACCAACACCCCACTTGCCCATAGAGGGGTATGTGATCTTGCCATGTGATTTACCGCTGTGTGCTCAGAAGAGGAGCAACTACATATGAACAGCTTATCTGTTGATTTGGAATGTCTCACAAAATTGAGGAGGCTACCCATGAGCAAAGCTCTAGCTCAGAGTGGCATCTGCTCCGCAAACCCAGGGTTACTGCCTCTAGGTTTAGAGAGATTTGTCACGTCAGAGGTGAGAGCTCTGCTAACTCTCTTGCAGAGCGAATACTCAAAGGTACAAGGCAGACTGCAGAAATGAGGAGAGGTGCCGAGATGGAGCCCACAGTAGCAGCTGAATACAGTAGACTGGCAAACGTGAACTACTCCCCTTGTGGCCTTGTCATTCACCCCTCTACGCCCTGGCTTGGTGCCTCCCCTGATGGAGTTGTTTTTGACCCAACAGAATATCCCCAATTTGGCCTTGTTGAATTCAAATGTCCCAATGTCCCAAATTATGTCGACTGCAAATATGTGCAGATGGAATGTGGCTCCCCTAAGCTCAAGAAAAGCCATACTGGCAAGTACAGGGTCAACTTCTTGTATCTGGGATGCAGTGGTATGACTTTGTAGTGTGGGCACAGGAGGACTACCTGGTGCAAAGAATATACACAGATCCAGAAGTGCAAAGAGCAATCAGAGAAAAAGTAGACTTTTTTTGTTTTACACATACATGCCGAAGTACCTGTCATTAAAAAAGTAGTGGGCACTGTAGCCATTGTTAACTCTGTAAGCAGTTAGCTGCTAGACCCTGGCTCAGCCGTCATTGTTTTTAAGAGGCAATCCCTCAATCATGTGTTCTGAATGACAACAAAATGTGATTTCAATATTTTGTTTGATATATATTGTTTGTCACATTTCATATATGTAAATAAATATACAATTGTATTTAAAAAGACAATAAAGTGAAGTGATTTTTTTGTAATGAATAGTAAATCATTGCATTTGTAAGAAATCATCAACGCATTGTAATTTGCTATTTACCATTTATTCAAACAAAACACTAGCGTGTGTCAGGCAACACGGTATTACGGTGTGCTCACCCAGCTTAATCACAGCTACCTGCACAGGTGTCATCATCTTGTCTTATTTCACCCATTTCTTGACCAGTGCTTTGTTCTGATAGTTTGACAGCATACATGCTACTGCAAACAGTTGATTGATGTTGTAGGCATGGGACAGGAGGATGACACCATCAAAAAGTTTGTTCTCTTTTATCCTCCTGATGACACGCTCCACATGAACCCTCAGTCTGGCAATGGCCTGTGTCTCCCTCACCTGATAGGCTGGCATTTGCTTCTGCTTTGACAGAAAAGGTGGGCAGTACACCTTGCATTTGCAGCAATCGCTGATCAGGAAGCCCTTATCTACCATCACTGCCATGTTTTCAGTCAACAACGCAGCTATTCCAGACTGTTTGAAAATCTCCTTGTCGCTGACAGAACCACCATACAGACTGGAAACAAATGTCACTGCGCCATGTGGGGCTATGCCAACCAGGGCTTTCATGGTGCAGTGAGATTTGTATGTAGAATACATTTCACTTTGGAGGAGGAGTGAGGATGGTGTTTGACACCTCAGCTCTGTGCAATCCAGGATCACCTGTGTGTCTGGGAAATCTTTGAATGCCTCTGGGAGGTGGGCTTGAACTTCTGCAGGTGTAAGCCAGATGCACTGTGACCCCAATAAAGTTGTAAGAAAACTCGTCCATGTTGCAATGATGCAGCTCACAGTGGACTGGTGTACGTTGAAGCGGTTTGCAAGGTCCCTCTCTTTCAAACCCACCGACAGGAAGCAGATAAAAAGGAAGAACTCGTCAATTGGCTGAAGCAGCTGTCTCTGGAAGATAAAAACAAAAAAAGGGTACTATATTAATGTCATGAGTGTAGCACACCATGGGAAAAACATTAAGTTGTTTTAGTTCTCTGATGTATTCAAAAAGGATTGAGTACTATAGCCTTTTAGCCTACACGAAAGCAATGAAAAGTCGGGGAAACATTTTCCCTTCAGTTTGTGTTTAGATTGTGTGTTAAAAGAAACGTAGCCTACCGTTGATGGACGTGCGTGTGTAACCACTTCTTCATTCCTCTTGGCAGCTGATATGGCTCTTGTAACACGAACCATTTTATAAATGGAAGGCTCAATCAAAAACCAGAAGGCCATCAGGTGGTTATAGCTCGGGAATCTGTACACAAAAGACACATGTCAGTCATTAATTGACTCGTTAACTGTAACACATGGGCTAATGCTTTCCTCTTGTTTGCTATAATACATTACAATTCAAATAGACTGATTAAGAAGGCACTTGGTGCAGGTATAGTAATATACAGCAGTAACATGTAACAACTACATTAAAGCAGCAGTAATAATAATCTAAAACATACAGGGAACATTTTACACAGAATGACTACTTTTACTCTTCATTCTTAAGTGTGCAACTGGGAGAAACACAGTGGATATTGACATGTACTTTTACTTTGGTAAGGTTTTGAAGATTTCCACTTGTAGTAAAGTATTATCAGTATGTTGTTAGTATTAGTATGTTTTACTCTACCACATTTAGTTAACCTTCATAGTTTCTAGTTACTTATGAAAACACTTGATTTATGATTCTACATTCAGTTCAGGAGTATTTTCAAACCATAGTATTTGTACTTATACTTCAGTTAAGTTGAGTAGCCTACTTATTCCAACACTGCATGCAAATAGTCAGCAGTCAAACGGCAGGAAAACAGGATTCTTTATAAGCTAACCCATCTCAAAAACTTGGATAGAATTTAGCCAAAACATTACCTGGTATAGAATCGGATGTTGTTGTCGGAGCCAGCAAACCGCTGTAAGCAAAACTCTCGCTGGACTCTTAACTCCTGCAGTTGCTTCTGCAGATCCTCCACTGTTTTGGAGTTGTCTTCTGTAGCTTGAGAGGACATGTCCAGTGAAGCTGGTTCAGGGGTTGAGCAATAATCATGGTCACGGACATCGATGTGCTCTTCCTGCTCCTCCCGAGAGACTGGTTCAGTGGGCCGCTCCCTTCTCTCCCAAACACTAGCCCGCGGTGTTTGAGCAGTGAAGTGATTCCACTCAAACAGAACTGGGACAGCACCTTTCACAAGCCTCCTACGGCCATCAAGGGTTTTTTGGCTCTATTAGTTGATCCGTAGCGAAGTGACGACTGCAGACCTTGGAGTGAGAGGAGATTGTAAAGTTATCGAGTCGTATTTTAACCAGCCACTGTCTTCGCAGCTCGAGTTAGGTCGGAAAGCCATGGAAACTTAGGACGCTGTTGAATTTAGCTGACGCCGTACAAAGTGGGACACAGCAGTGCTCGGAGTAGTTATTTACTTGTCTTTGCAAATGCTCCGTTTTGAAAATCTTCCGTCGACTCATATTTAAACCATAGATTTAAACAGTAAAACATTTGTGGACGATCTCCCGCTCTGCTACGTAGACCGGAAGCAAACCGGAAGCTGCCGAGCCGTATTACGGCTAAGGCGGAAGTACGTCTCAGACCCTAGTGCATGTAGCCTATCACAACATATAATAAGTACCCTGTATCAAGATTGATACAAAACAAGTGACATTTGACCTTTTTAGAGAGGTTTAGCCAAAAAAACTCCACCTCTGAGGTGATTTGGGGTGGAAATGGGGGTTTTACCGTTTCGCTGGAACCCATTGGTCGATTTTGGTGATTGACATCTCTTTCTGACTGTTAGAGCCAATATAATCGAAGGGGAATCTCCCCACTCACACACATGGTAAAACAAAAAGGTGTGGGCTTCGCGCACCCAGTTTTGCATGAGAGTGAAGCTGTCTCTAGGTCTGACATTCATCTGCTAGCATTTTTCGCTCGTTGCTAATTCAGAGGCTCAGCGTTAGCATTGTGAGTTTTATTTTGAAAAAATAAAAATAATGGTCAGTTAGATGAGTTTCTTCCCGTTACATGGATATAAAACATTCATAGTTTATTAAATGAACATGGCCTCAGACACTGTTTCCTGCAAGATGTTACGGCAGTGCCTCGGTACCGGGGTCTCTCGGGCTTAACAGGTTAATAACAACTTTTTTTTACTGTCATATTTATACCTGTTTTTCATCTATTCTCTTATTTTTTTATAACTATAATGATCATATAAAGGTGTGTCTTTACCTGACTGAGCTGATGTTATCAGAGCCTCTTAGTCTTTCAGGAGAGAGCTCTCTAAAGCTCTCCCCCCGCGGCCGCACACAGTAAATTCCAATGTTGATAAAAGCATACAGAAGCTGTATACGTTTTTTGGGAGTTTGATTTATTTTGAATTAACACTAATACAAAATTAAAACCTATAATTGCACACTAAAACTATTATTTAAAAAAAAGAACTATTTCACATAAACCTCTGGTTTTTACTGGGGCTAGGGCAGTTCAACTTGATTTTGGGGGGGGGGTGCGCCATAGTTTATGGGCGCTGTACGCAATATAGGCGTAGCTATGTTAGTATAAGATGTAATTTGTTGATCCAAAATCAAGAAATTGTGTTGTTATGAAATTTAAAAAATAATTTGTTTTAATTTCTAACTTGTTCTTTTTTTTCCTTCTTTTTTTTTTGGCGCCCCTGATGGGTTGATGCACCCTTAGCATTCGCCTATACTGCCTATGCCAAGGGCCGGCCCTGGGACGGCAAATGCTGCGGCTGCAAGGCATTGTGGGGAAGCATTTACTCCTACTTTCGTAAAGGGAGGTCCAGTGGTTCCTAAGCTAAAGAAGGTTAGAAAGGAAGTTTGAAACCTCCTTTCCTATCATCTAGAGCAGGGGTGGGGAACCTCCGGCCCCCCGTACAGTCAATAACTTTGTTGTTATTAGCATCTGGTTAGCTAGCTATGCTAACGAATATAAGAAGCTTTTTCTACAACCAGTGAGGTAAAGGCACATCTTTATATGATCATTATGGTTATAGAAACATAAGAGAATAAAGTAAACAGGTATAAAATACTATATGACAGTCAAAAAAGTTGTTATTAATAAACAAGAATACAGTTTGAAAGGGGAGTGATTTGTAAAATATCCATAAAGAAAAATAAATCTGCTTACAGTTCTGTTTCATATGGATGTTGAGAGATATATCCATAGATCTCCTGATGTTGCTCTCAAAGTGCACCAGATTGATGCTTTTAACTTCAACATTTAAAAAAAACAATCTTCCCGGGGAAGCATGCCCCCGGACCCCCCTAGTGGAGGTTAGGTCCCCCCCAACTGAAATCATGTGCACATGGATAGGAAACTAAATACATTTGCACATCTTGTGTGTCTATGCGCGAGTCATGGTAAGATATCTGGATTAAGAGGTTGCTTTTTCTTTGCACAGCATGAAAGAAAGGCCAAATGAATGAATTTTTAAGCAGAGGTCAATAATTTGAACGGCCCTCGGAGGATGTTGAAAAAATTGAAATGGCCCTTGAGAGGAAAAAGGTTCCCCACCCCTGATCTAGAGAATTGGAACGGCACTTATCATGGCTGCCACTGAGGTACTTCCGGGTAATTTCACTCCGTTAGGAAGGTTCTTAAGCTAAATGGACTATTCGACTGCAACCCATGTCTCCTGCCTGCCTGTTCCCGCCTGTTAGTTTGTTCCTGTCTGTCGTGCTCCCCAGTTTTGTTAATGTTAATTGGTTTCTTTTGTCATCGGCTTTTTTTTTATAATAAAGCTCGCTTTTTGTTACCTTACCTTTTTTAGTCCTTTTTCTACATTTGGGTCCTATTTTCCCCAACCCTGACAGAGACAAGCATCAAAATTGTTTGCAGAAACTCCAGACGTAGTTTTTTTATTATACACATTCTTCTTACCTTCCGCCTACATTAACCACAATCCAATTCAACGGCTGGCAGTTCGGTCAAAGATTTAAGCGTCTTAAGGTTTTAGCGACAGAGTTTTGGTAAGTTCTCTTTGTTCTAGAGCCACACTTTCTTCTTCAGACTTCCAGCCTCCATCACTTGAGGACATTAAATAGGTCCTGTTATGCTTTTGGAGGGTCCCCCCCCTGCCTGAAATGCCTCCATTGGACTCCTTTGTTGACTTCTGTAACATAGTGAAATCACTATGAAACACTTGCACTTCTATTGGTTAGCGCTCTAACATATTGTACATGATAGGCTAAGCTGCAACATCTCTCAGTTGACCAATCACAACAGAGCCGGCCAGCTAACCAATCAGAGCAGACTGGGCTCTGGTTTCAGACAGAGGGTGAAAAGAGGTGCTGCAACACAGGCAGTATGGGAAAAATAAAGAGCTTTTTGAACATTAAAGCATGGAGACATGTCACAGTAGAGACACAAAATACAAATATGAACCTGAGAATGAGCACAATATGTCCTCTTTAACACTGCTTCCTCTGGAGATACTAAAGCTTTTATGCAACTTCTTTTCAAATACTGTATAGCCTACAGCATCACTTCCTCTCAGGAAATCTCATTGATGTTTAAAGTTGGTGGCGCTCCACCTTAACCGTAGTTAAAGTCAAATAAATGAATAGAAAAAAACCTATTTATTAAGAGATATTTTTAAGTTGTAAAAAAAAACATAATCCTGGTGATATGTGTCAGAAGAGAAAACACGAGTCCAGCCACTGACCTTTGTCATGCGTCATCTCCATTTCTATGCCAATATTTCATATAGTTATGAACTGTAAACCAATTATCTAATAATAAACTGCCATATTTTGTCGTTTCAAACCGCAAAAGCACGGGTTGTAAATGTCAGCAGTTGAAGTGCCCTCAAACCCTATGTAATGCTTTATATTTGAATGTATAATATGATGACATGAAGAAAGAGAAGATTGAGATCATGCACAGATTAAAATCATTGCAGCAGTACGGCAACAGCTCACATGCCTTTGACATCTTAAATTGTACAACATCTTGTTGAAACACATTCCTCCATGTGGTCTGTTTGTTGAATGAATGTAGACTATTGAGTTTTCCTGTGATAGATTAAATGCGTCACACAGATAAGTCAAACTGCCAAAGAGATATATAATCAGATTCAAAGACTTATGAACATAAGACATGAGACATGTTATGTCTTAGAGCAGAAATTCCCATGCCCAACATTGGTAAGGCTGTTAGGACTGTGACCTTAAAGAGCTTCTCATAATGATTTACAAAGGTGATTTGCGTCACTGGGTTTCAACTAAATGAAAGATATACATAACAATAGTTTATTGAGAAGATATCAGGGCTGAACAGTGTTGGGCAAGTTACTTCCAAAATGTAATATATTACATATTACTTATTACTCTCTTTTGAAAGTAATAAGTTACATTACAATACTGTCTCTGAAATGTAATGAGTTACACTACTTTAGTTACTTTTGAGTTACTTTCACCAAAATAACCGCAAAAGAATGGCTAGGTATTTTAAATGCTAAAATGTAGTTTAGTGCAGCTCATTATACATCCAGTGAAGGGCAATGTGGTATAGCATAACCACTGTGTAGGCCCTTAAGGCTACTAACAACTTTTATTACACGGCTTAGTTGAATAGTCGATTCTGATTGTAAATTCTTAACATGTGACACGTTGTTAATACATTAGTACAGACCACTGTCAAGGACTATAATGAAGGTTGCTAAGGAGGATCAAGAAAGAGACAGGAAAAGAGGTTAAAAGAAGGAGCGCTGGACGTCAGATAAATCACCAGAAGAAGGCAGAGAGGAAGTAAACACTAACAGGACACGGAATGGGCTCTGTAGTTTGTTTAGTATATGGCCGTGTACAGGCCCGGTTCCAGAACAAAATGACTCAGGGTGCCTCTGAGGTTACAGGGGGCGCAGCAGTAGTAGGTTTACATGAGCAATAGTGGCCGGCAACAGCAATGAAAAATAGCATTGATGGTCCCCAATGAACAGATTATGCCATTTGTTATGTTTTGAAACCAAGCAAGTGAGAACATTTCAAGTGAGTTAAAAGTGCAATACTGAAATATTTCATATCGTCCAAAGTGGACTGTGGCAAGGAAAAGCATGAAAGCTTAAAAACTGTATTGATAAAACAAATGAGAACATATTGTAAATCAAGGCAAATATTATTTAAACCAGCTCAT